AATCCTGTAGACTTCCCATCCTTTGATGTAGTCCTGAATCTTGTGGCTCCTCATAGGGGCCCCCGGCCTGTGGCACACAGTTCTGAGAGGCGCAGGAAGTGACTGTGGGTCTGAGGCCGCGCCATCGGTCCACACTTTTGTAGGTAGAAGGGCGGTCAGTGAGAGCACCCCCTCAGTTCACACGCTGGTCGGTCGTACAGGGGCTTCGGGTAACAGCACCCCTTCTTTTCACACGCTGGTCGGTCGTACAGGGGCTTCCGGTAGCAGCACTCCTTCAGTTCACTCGATCGTCAAGCGGAAGGGTCCGGTTCCTAAGGCCTCTGGGCAGTCTTCCACTGGCTCAGGCTCTGCTTCAAGTGCTAAGGCCCAGCAGAAAGTCCCTAAGCGGCGGCGTGAGCCCGCCAAGTCCTCGGTCCACTCTGCAGTGCCTTCGCTCAGGGTTGGCCCTCCCAGGCCGCGCTCAGGGGGCACACAGACTGCTCCGTCGTCGGTGGGTCTCTGCTCGAGTTTTTCTGGCACAAGTCCTAGGTCCTAGGTGCCAGGGTTCGAAACCGGAGAAACCAAAAATGCGAGTCCCTAAGGGCCCAAACCATGACCAGGAGTCCGACAAGGTTAGGAAGACGACGTCCAAAACCTGCTACCCGTCCCAGGGCGCTGGCACGGGCTGGCTCCCGTGGTGGACTTGCGACCAACCGAACTGCTCCTTCAAAGTGATGAGACATCCGATCGTCCGAGGCCACCACGAGGCGAGGAGATATCATCTCACAAAGGTTTACGGCGTGGAAAAAGTTCCGAGGCTTCACGACGAGGGCCCCACTACGAAGCGTAGGCGAACCAAGAAAGAAGAGGCTCTGGCGACCCAGGCCAAGATTGAAGGAGTTCGAGCGAGGCAGCGCGGTAACAACAACACGGTCTCTACGAAACCCAAACCAAACAGTACTGGCCTCTTCGCCGTTGGAGACTCTGAGGCCCGACTTGATCCCTGGTGGCGTTGTGATTGGCCCGGCTGCTCCTTTTCGCTTGAACAGGATGAACCCAACAAGAACTATCGTCGCAAACAGCACCTGAAACAGGTCCATGGTTTGAAGCAGGTTCCAGACCTCAGAACCGTGGGCGGTCTTACAGTGTTTTCGATAAGAGATGGCAGCTCACTCATGCCAATTTTCTTAAGAAGATCTGGAAAACTGCTCACTGCATAGAATGCGAGCCTTGCTCCTACCGACTTTGGAACTCCCCAACCGGTCTCCCTAAGACCAGAGCCGTCCATCGATGTGAGCTGTGTGGCATCGAGGTCCAACGAGGAGAGATGCCGCTGTCAATCTGCAAGATGGCAAAGGGCAAACCGCCCCCCCTTGCCAAACGTAAGCAGATCTGGAAAGAGTGCCGAGTCGGCGCATCTAAAGAGTTGGGCTGCAGGCGTACCTTGCGGAAAGTCCGGCAGGCCAAGAAGACTAGGGATGGAAAGACGCAGGCGAGCAAGCGGCGCAGAGTGTCTTGACTAGGGACACTTGTCACGCACGCCGCTTGTGATCTGTCCATCGTGGGCAGAGGCCTGAGGGCTTGCAGAGCGGGGGAGGCCTCGCACCCGGGGCCTGCTGTGAGGTCTCACGAGGGCCTCCGTGTTGCTATGTGGAACATTAGCTCGCTGCAAAGGCATCTCGATGCTCTTCTTGACAGAGCAGATGAGCTTAAGCTGTTTGCAGGAGACGCGGGTCACTCAGCGACAGTTTCCTGGCTTGGCCCAAAGACTGCGCAGTCGAAGGTGGGCTCTGGGAGCTCCTCCTGTCCAGGGGGTGGCCGAGGTGGAGTTGCTGTTTTAGTAAGGGAGCCGCTCTGTCTTTCGGAGACTTTTTCTTGCTCGGGGACGTGGGGCCAGTTGTGGGTCGGAGAGCTGCTCGGCGCTTCTCTGTCTGTCACAGTGGCCTGTTGTTACCGACGGCCGGGGCCTGTCTGCGACGAAGCCATGACGGCACTTGCTACGGGCCTGGCACAGCACAAGCATAGGCAGTGGCTTTTGGGCACGGGCTTTAATGCCTTTCCTTTTCAGGGGCATGTTTGCTAGCTTCATGCAAAGCATTGGGGGTCAGGTCCTTGCGAGCGGGGGTCATGTGAACAGTGTTGAGCCCATTGACTCCTTATGGCGCTAAAGCCCAGGGAAGAGCCCCAGTCCTGGGAGTTCTGCCCTCACGCTAGGCTCGCTTCACCTGAGGACATCAACCCGGCTACCTTCGCTAAGGAGTCGACCCGGGCGGCGTGCTCACACGAGGACTGGACCTCTTTGCTTGCCACTGAGGACGCTGAACGAGTTTGGCAGCAGTGGAGTGCCTCAGCTGAGACTGCCCTCCGGGCAGGTGGTGGCCTCTTGCAGTTGCAGGCAGAGAAACCTGGTAGGGATAGGGGTCTTGAGCCTTCTCTCAGGTCCGGTTGGTCTAAACATGGCCCGGGACAGGACCTTCGGGAACGGCAGCTACGGAGAGCTCTTCGTCGTGTTACTGAAGTTGGCAGGGTCGTGCAAACGGGAGGTGTGCCTGCACGCGCCTTGGTTAAGAACCTGGAAAACAGCTGCAAGCTCCTTGGAGGGCTTCAGGAAGCTCAGGCGAGAAACTGGCCTGGGTGTGCTGACAGCTGCTCTTGGCTCCAGCTGAGGTCTGGTTGGAGGCTTGTCCTCCCAGCTTAGGACTGCGTGCTTCTCGCGGTCCCCTTCGCGTACTTCTAGCTCATTCACGAGGTGATTTTCGAATTTCCTGGTGGGTTCAGGCTGAAGTTCAACGGCGCGGCCTATCTCGCGGAAGATTTCAGAGAGCGGTCCGTCAAGAGGAGACTCCTCCGGAGATGCCAAGTGACGTGATCAATCAAGAGCAGCAACAGCAGTCAATGCCAATCCCGTGGACGAGGATGACAGACAGACTATTGCTGAACCAGACGAAGAAAGGGAAGCCGACGAGATAATGTCAGAGCCAGCACCGGAGATGGATGACGAAGAGGACACCCCTGAAGTGGTCAGTTCCCGTCAGCCAGTATATTTATCAACGATGCTGCTTTTCACTTGGAGCAAGACTTGGCTCATGCAAGGTGCAAGGTCATGCATGCAGGTGCCCATCTATGTTCACATTGAAGCGGCATTCGCTGTTGATCCAAGGCTCGACGTCACTCGCTACATGGCTTACATCATCACGAACTACATGCGCAAGAACTGGAAGGGTAACACGAAATGGCTGGAGATACCTTTGTCAACCATGAGACATCTCTTCCAACAAAGGAAAAGATACGACGTTCTCGGTGATTGGGGACCGGTGCTATCGGAAGTCGATGAAAGTACTGGACTTTCACGAGGAGTCACAGAAGAAATCCTTGCACACGCAAGAAGTCTCAATGACGAGGAGGATCCGGACGGCACCTACCTATTCAGAAAGCTCAGAGCACATCAGTTGATATCTACATTGATGCGAGGGGCCATTCAACTTGTGTATCGGGAGGATCATTTTGATCCTGCTTCCCACATGCGTGAGAACCGAAGTGACAATGCACCGCAGATGCACTCCAGTTGCTATGCATTGCTGTCGAATATCATCGGCAAGGTCACACTGGGTACAGACAGTATGCGTTGCTGCAACCTAGGCGCCACAACACTCATCAGAATGTGTTATGCATCGATCCTGGTGGGATAGTCATGATGCAGGGCCTCAAACATTGCACACAGACGCTTCTGTCGGTTATGGTGGACATGGACATTCAAATGCAGGCCAAGTTCGTCAACGAGCTTACGCGAAGCAGACTGCAAGCTGGTAGCGCCAGAAATGCTACTGCCATAGCCCATTTCACTACAAGCTATCTTCCGGACGGACAACAAAGCATTATGAACAACAGGAGTCAGGACTTATTACCATTACAATGACCGCTGGAATGACTGATCTTCTATGTGCGCATTGCCGACCGCATCGGTGACCACTTCACATGTTGGACATGGCTAAATGCAACACATTTCGTGCATATTTCTTCGAATTTTGTTCGATGAATGCATCCTTCCATTTCTCACCGAAACAGGGGGTCGCAGTCGACGTAGCTATGTCTCTCACACAGTGTCTAATTAGGCAGCTCTACACACACAAGGATAATGTCAAATTGCCGTTGAGTACTTTCCTTTGCAGGTCCCGCGACTCACTTCCTACAGCTGAGTAAAGCTCAAAGCTTCACTCATGGGGGGTGCGAAGAGACCTCGAAGCCCATCACAATTTTATGTACCATACAGTTGAGCCATGAAGGATGTGTGTGCAGCCTTTGGCTAACACACAGATGACCACCATGTTTTACTCCGGCAATCGTTTGGCTCAAAGGCCAAAAGTTCCAATAAAGGACTAGCATACGTAATCTAGCTTTCCAGTTGACAGCCATTGCGTGTGTTGCCCCTCTGCACAAATGCTTCGTCTACTGGTGCGAGAGTGCGGAAAAGTGGACCGAGGGTGCCTGCATAGGACACGACAGTCATCACCCAACAGTGGGCGTTATACTAAAACACAAAGCTCGGTGAGGTGAGCCAACAACGAGAACATCAACAACAAACCCTCACGCACTACGAGTAGTAGGAGTAGGAGTAGCAG